ACCTAGGTTTTAACAGTTTTGTTGGTCTTAGTGACAAAGCTTTGATCTTTCTAATTTTTCAGCACTACCTCTTCAAAACTTTACACAGAAGCACTTCATTTCATTGTAGTGCCTGTAGTCGAAAATTCTTTCGTGTACGTCAAATAAGTTTAAAGATGAAAATGTTTGTGAATAAATGAAATACTTGATTCCTTGAAGGCGAAAGAAAAGTTTATCATCTACCCCACTAGGGATACTGACACACAAATACTAAATACTAAAAGGTAGATTAGTCATACAACTATAATTTATTATTGCATGTTATCGTAAAACTTTCAGTATTCAGAAAGGGAAATAAGAGAAATAAGGTCAAGGGAATAAATGTTACAGAGACATTGATTTAGATACGTTATTATTGTAACATTTCACCTAATGTATCTAAGTTGTAAAATTAGTCTTTGGTCAGTATAATACCTAACTACAATGGTATGGCTTTCTTGTAAAATGTTTACTTTCTCTTTTTGAAAGAACTTGGGTGTACAACTGACTGTTGAAATCAAATATATTTGTTAACCGATTTATAAAGTTTATGCCTAATGTTCGTGCTGTTGTGTATTAGTACCAGTATGCCTTTGTAACACTCAGCCTAATCTCTGACCTATATCTAGGTCACTAAATAATAAAGCGATGAATGCAAGAATATTTTTTTTGCTTACGTTTTGTTTTTTTATTTATCTGTGAATAAAATCGAAAGGTGACTTTTGCTTCCTGAAAATGTCTTTTTATACTTTCCTTTTAAGTTAAAAAAACAAACTATTAGTGATATAATATTTTCAGGCGTTGGTTTGTAGGGATTTTCTGTGATTGGTTAGAGGATTTCATCACTGGCTGACATCAGCTAGAGAACTCTTGGAAAACCTGCAGAGAGTACTGGATAGTTGTTTCGTCAGTCTAGTTTGGTATTCTTCAGCGATGCGCACCTACCATAGGGGGGGGTTGAACCTTGGACCTTCTGATTTTAAGATGAGCTCATAGACCATTAGGCCACTGGGATCACTGCTAAGTGGTCGCATTATGTCATGAAATGGCAGAAGTTAGAATTCATGGGCTGACCGTTGGATCGGGCCCCAGTGGCCCAATGAGCTATGAGTTCATCTTATAACCATAAGGTGCTGAGTTTAAACCCAGGTAGATGAGTACTGCTGAAGAATCCCAAACTTGACTGACAAAACAACTGTCAAGTACTCCGTTCAGGTTTTCCAAGAGTTCTTTAACTAATTTGTTAGCTCATGATGATATAATATTTCTTAAAAATTTCGCTTCACTGTACGTGTGACTCATTATTGTTCCATGTGTAAGAAGCTTAAATTAAATCCGTTAAACTGTAACTAGAGGCACAGCTGTCTTTACGGTGAATAAAGTGCAGAAATCTGTATCGAATGCCTCTCTGACTCCTTCACTTTTCTCTTAAGTGATCATGTAAACTGCTTTTTTCCACTGAACAGGTGTATAAGTTGCACAGCACGATAAATTATAATTTGTCAAAAAGCGGTGTTTCACAACAAATTAGGTCCTAACGCTGGTAGTCAGTGAGTGTAAGTGACTTTTGTGAATTAAATTCAGATTCATATCTCTTTGATGTTTCTTTCTATAAGGAATTAGAATCATCTATGTTAAATAACAGAAAAAGTGAAGCAAAACTACCAGTCTTCATTGAATCAAATTTCTTGATCAAATTCATTCCATCTGGGTAACTAACTCGTATGCAGACATACAAATGCATAAGCCGGATGAATGCTTAACAGTAGTATCTGTTGATATTAAATTCATAACTATTCTACAGCTTTCCGTTTTGAATTTAGCACATTTACTAGAAAGCAGCTGCTAAGGTAACGATATACGGAGACTTAACAGCTATTTCTTAAGCAAACAGTATTCTGAAACTCTATTGAGGAATGTTCATAAAAAAGAAAACTATTCGATAAAGTTCAGTATTTTCAGTCATAATTACATAGAACCAGCCAATACATATGTTCGACAAAATAAAACACTATATCTGAAATGATTTAGACTGAAAGTTTTAGATAAGAACGCAAAAAAGTAATTTGGTGTACAGTGACTAGTAGCGGAATCTAAGATGCGCATTTCATCTTGTTTGGAACTAATCAGTTAAATGTGTCTGCATTACCAGTGAGTGGCGTTGTTTCCAGATAAGGTGAAGTATGCGTCCCGGATTCCCCTGTTGGTTACCATCCTTCAAATCAATCCTCAGACATCGTCGAAGCGTCCGTACGAGGAGCTAACATGTCACCGGTCCAATAAATCAAAGGGAAAATCAAAAACTTAAACTCTCTATCCTCAATGAGGACAAAAAGTCGTTATATCTAAGAATAAAACGGTTACTGATTTGAATTCACCTATGCGTGTTACTTGTACTTCTCACTGTTTACATTCTAAACAAAACTACTCCCATTGATTTAATTCAGTTTTACGTTTTCCCGTCGACTGGTTGGAACGAAGTGCTCAGTCTCAGTTTGACATGTTACTTCAGTTGATCGGAAAATCTAAAACTGAATTAAATAATGAATATGACCTGTTGCACAAGAGGTGGCTGTCGTGGCTCAAGTGTCTAGTGGATAACGCTTTTGTGTTTGAAACTATGGGCATTTGGTTCGAGCCTCGGTGGGAACGTCATCATTCACTGCGGAATGCAGGCAAATCCAGAAAATGAGTCCCAAATAGCACGAAATGCTCACCCTAGATTCCACTACTAGTCACCATTCACCGAATAACTTCTATTTACTTTCATACGATTTGCATTGAAACATAAATATCCAACATTCAAATCTAACTTTGGAAAGTATAGTGAAAGCTATCGAAACTTTTCGCTCTTCTACTTACATGTCTGTCTAAATGTATAAAAGTGATTTCTTAAATTAATATAGCACTTATATACACACATATATATGCCTATATATCGAGTGAAAAGCTTTTATGAAGTTTCTGGCATACTTTTTACACTGATTATCTTACTGCTGTGAAATATAACTCCCTGGATTTGTAATTCTTTGTGGATTACATGGGATTATTTTATTTGTCTACAAAAGGAATTTTCAGTGGGTAGTCTATAATATTATTCTTTGGTTTACTGTTCACACTGGTGTAGCGTGAGACAGGAATTTCATCTTCTAATCTTTCTTTAAAAAAATATGGTTTTTTCGTCTTTTATAAAACACCCCAAGAAAAAAATTCTCACCCAATAAATCATTTTGTTTCAGCTACTTTTGTGTCAATATTGTAGTCTAATGCATACTGAATATGACGAAACAGTGAAATGTATGTGATTTACTGCGAAAATAAGCAATAAATCAAGCGAGAATAGAAATGTGAGGAGGGTATTTTAAATAAGAGAACCCCGATAAAATTGTTTAAAATATTTCCTACAGCAAGAGAAGAATATGTGTTCAGCATTCTCGTGGTGCAGAGACTGCCTAAAAAATATTCTCTGTTTCTATTTTGTTCTACTATGAGCTTATACTAACTGGAAAATAAAATTTTATACCCTAAGTAGAATTAATCTGTAATTCATAGTTGAAAATGCCTGTTAGGAATTTCCAGGGAATTTCTGCCACTGACTCACTTATGTTTTTCTCCAATGACTACGCTAAATGCCCTTGAAAGGATGGCATAAGCAGAAGTAATTTTATTATTACTTCAGGTTTCAAGTGAAACATTGGGCTTCAGAAGAACATCTCTACTTCATCTTGTTCTCTGCAGTCTTCTTTATTTTTTTATTTTTATTATAGCTTGATTTCACACTGTATTTTTGGTACAGGTATGGAATTTTCAGCATGTGAAATCGGTAGCCCAAATTTTGCAGGCCGACCATAGATATCGGGTCTGTGTCGGTAGGAGATCGAACCCCTGACCATTTGGATGATTGGCGAGAGTCCTAACCGCTGAACCACCAACGCACAATAAAGGGAGGACCGTGAGGCCTTCCCACTGACAAAAACTACACGCTCTAGCGCACCTGATTAGGGGCCGTCGCGAGTTTCAACCCAACTAGGTGCAATGGTGAGCCTCCATCCGTGTCAGAGCATTCTTCATCACCCTGAACCCGGCGCTGATACCATGATTCTTCATAATTTCTATTCACCTTCTGTTCACACTATCCCCGTCCTATTGCACTCGGATCTATATCCTACTGGTTACCCCCTATTCGGATTCCATTCAGTGGTCTCCTTGATGCATTCATCAAGTCTATCTCTATTACTTTCTACATAATTACTGGGTGATAGGTTGTTGAATGTTTGTTGCCAAGGCTCTTTGATGCTAATCTTTCTTGGTTGGGCATCTGACCTTAAGTCTTGAGCTAAGCTATCTAATGATGAAAGTCTGCAACAGCCTGTTAGAAATGATTTTGCTGATAGGTACGCTTAACCTCATAGAAGAACTAACCTGACATTGGTAATGAAGATCCAGGTAGAAGCATGTAAGAAACTAATTGTTGAACTTGAATAGGAAACGATGAGTTTTACATCCAACGGTGACGTGGAAACAGCCTTGTGTATAGGAAATGAAAGCGTATGAAGAAGAGGATGAAATTAAGATGTGCTCCTGAAGTCATATGTTCTACTGGGAACGTAAGGGAACAAACATATACATGACTAATATCTAGTGATGCTTCGGTTTTTATAATTCTGGCAGAGTTTTGACAGCTGTGAAATTCTAACTTAGAGACAGTTCTGCGCATTTAGCTATCTAGCAGTTTCTAAGGTGTACATGATTCCGTGAGTTATCTGCAAGTGCAGGTACTGTTAACTGAACCATAAAACAATATACAGCACTTTGGAAAGGATCAGTTAAGGTATCCAGTGGAATTTGTTGTAAACGTATCACACATAATTTAAAAGAGGTATAGGAACATGATTCTAGGGTAATTTGTTGAGGGAGTGAATATCTCCACTAATTTTCCAACAACCTCATGAAAGTCTAATGTTAAATTAGCTTCATCTTACCTTCAGGAGTTTGTGCCTCTCCTCCTTGACTGCCATTTTCTTTCCGTTTATACTGGTCTTTTTCATTCTGTAAAATTAAAATTTATCATTTAATTATACTGAACTTTCAATATATGCATTGACTTATAAAAAGAATTAAGGTGAACCATATTCCACAAAACATGCAGCATATCATTTTGTTTCTTAAATATCGTCTAAGTTAATCAAAAAAACGGTTAGTTTCATAACAAACAGTCGACTTATCTCATTAATCCGTAGATATCATGCTTTGTCGAATAAAACATAGAGTAAGATAATGGTTAATTTTGACTTCATTTTTAAATCACTGGAAATACCTATTGAGTCATGAAGAAAATTAAAGACAATTGAGTGAAGAAAATTTTCTTTATCGATGAAATCATCTTCAGAGGCTGTACAGTCGTATTTATATTTATCGAAAATGTATAGTAGTCCATCATTTGGTAATGAAGGGGGGTGACGACATAATTAATATAGTTACTCAGAAGTGACTTTAGAAGTAAAAATAAAAGTTGCAAATTACGCAGTACTCAACGGCACTAAGGAAGAAGGGGTTAGAAATTTAGTAAGGTTAAAACTGTTATTGAGTGAGAAAAAGGTATTTGAGCGTTAATTTAACAGGTGTAAGCGGGTGAGAAAATGAACAAAAGAACATATGAGAGCAACAATGGTGAATTAACTTTTAAAATAAAAGCAAACTAATCATTAAAAGTATAAGTAAAAAATTGCAGGGAACGATTAATGAAGAGGTGAAGACCATTGTAGACAAAGAGACTAGACAAACGTTTTCTGTATAAGGAGTTCGGGGTTGTATAGTCGGATCGCCAACGCTTTCACCTTACACAAATACCGAAACCTGACGCCCTTTGTGCCACTTGGCCTCACCTTGTAGATAATCTTGAAAGACCACTCTGGTGAAGCTTCTTTACTTGAGTTCACCAAGTGCTCGAGAATTGACCCAATCACTGTCTTGCATTGTCCTTTAGCTGACCATTCCAGATAATGTTCAGAGATGCGTTTTGAAGGTATGCACTTTGTGCGGTAAATACAACTAGCTCTAGCAGAGCACGTGAATTTGTTAACACATACTGAAGTGGCTCAGAGTGGCAGTTTATCCGTCACGCATCCATTGATCATTTATGGACTGTAGAAACTGATCCGTAATCCAGCCAAAAAGAAGGTTTTTCTCAGTGATCTGCTTAAGCGATTGTTCAGGATTTCAGTTGCGGTATCACCTTTAAATTCAGTTTTCATGAACAGCAGTTTCTTCTGAACCGTGTGAGTTCTGTTGGGCTTTTGCTTTACCTTCATGTTTTTATCGATGAGTCTTGGAGGATGTCCACTTTCCATGAGGACTTGCCTAAGTCGCTACAGTTCCACGTAGATTGTATCACTGTTATATATCCCTTTAATTCTTAGGGATAAGGAGTGGGTCAGATTTCTCTTTTTTTCTCAAAGAGACCAAACCATAAAATCCATGCATTGACCATCCTGTAGACTGATCTCCAAGCAGAACCGCTTCACCTCCTTTTTGTAAAAAGTCCGAAAGATGGAATCCCGAGTTCAACTCTGATTCCGACGGAACTCGATAGTATGATGGCAGCTGTTGAACTCCTTAGTTATCATTTCGATGTTGGTATCCTCGTCATATATGACAAAGGTATCACCCATATATCTTTGGTTTATATGGAAACTATCGATAGTGGGTCGGAACAACTATTCTCTAGTCTAGCCAAGAAGCAGTTGGCAAGTGGCGATACCATTGCTATTCAGCCTCTTTATCTATAGAGCATGTTGTTGAAACTGAACTGAAAATTAAGAGTGCACTTTATTTTTAAAATAAACCTTTTGAACTGAGACAAAAGCACAAAGCGTTACTGATTCTAAATAAACTGGCCAGTGGACAAAATAATGCTCATCATAGACATTACACTGACTCTTGTGTTTAAATCATTTATGATTTTAAAATTATTACTTCATTTCTGCTTGCAAGTTGTTTAAGTCACTGACTAGGAAAATGAAAAGAAGTAGACACCATGTGTAAATGGTGGTGTGAGACTGCTGACAGAACTATCAAGTGACTATTAACTCAACTTATTTTAAATATCAGTCTCATTATCATATAGCTGTCAGAGAGACCATTGAAGTAAAAAACGAGGTAGGACAAGGGTGTCTTCCATCACCGATAATGTTACTGATTGTGGTGATTGAGATAATGCAATGAACTGTAGACAGACACGTGATGTGCTAAAGTTGAACAAAGAAAAAAGCTATAGAAGATCTATACTTCGCTGATGACTTGTGTTTAGTGTCACTAAAACTCAAATATCTACAACCCAAAGTCACCAAGGTGATGAAAGAGTCAGAACGTGAAGAGAAAACTGAAATGATGAAGGTACTTCTAATGATTTTGAAATTTCCAACAAATTAATGAAGTGCAGACAGACTGGTCTTAAGTATTCTGAATCTATTACATAATAAATGAGCAAGGCCCTACTCACATAGACAAGAATCAAGATTCGGGTAAAAGTGATCATTACTTTGAAATTAGTATGGAAATCTGTAGCACTCACTATGAGAAACAAGATCCCGCATTTCAACACTAACGTCAAGTTAGTCCTTGTATATGGTTCGCGGACCTTAAGCATTACGAAAGCATTTCCAACAGCGTACTGCAGACTTTCATCAGCAGCTTTCTTCACCCGACACTAAAGATCAGATGACTAGCCAGAAGTGATAAGCAACAAAAAATCTTGACAACTAACTAACCAAGAAGATGTTGTCAAATAGATATGCATAAGGAAATGGAGACAAATTGGACATACTCTGAGAGAGCCTTTGACTCACACCATGCGCCAGGTCCTCGAATGGAATCTTACTGGGAAGTGACCAGCTGGGTATTGGTCCAAATGTGACGTAGAGGAAAACATGTCAACAGAAAATGAAAGCTATATACTCGTTCCTTCATAATGGATGGAGATGTATCGGGTATATATTGGGGTGACCGTAGAATGACATCGCGCGCAATGCAGGCCACTAATCGAGTGGAATCCTAGTGGGAAGCGGCCAATGGGTAACATGAAGAAGATCGTGTAAGCAGAACATGAGAGATTATAGGCGATTGTAGCTCAAGCTGAAGAGGACAGCAGAAGATCGGAAAAAATGAAGATGTGTTGCTGAAGCCCTATGTTTCACTGGGAGCTCAAAAGCATAATAATAATATACTAGTTTCTTTATAAAAAGTTATTCTAGCGATTATAACTGACTCTACTTGTCAGTAGAAAACGAAACAATAATGCTTTTTCATAGTACAGTGCTTAAAACAACTATGATAATGAGATCGGTCCTTCCATTTTGGTGATAACTATTATTATTACTTTTTATTGAATTTGAGATTTTCCTTTCTATTGATTGGACTGAGGTGCTTGGTCTCACGTTGACATGTCGGCTTCTTGTGCAAATGCCTCGACGATGTCTGAGCCTTTTTAATTAGTATTTAATTTGGTGGATGGTGACTAGCAGTGGGATCTACTAGGATGCAAATTTCGTCCTATTTGGGACTCGTCCTCTGGAAGCACCTGCATTTCCCAGTGAGTGATGATGTTTCCACCTAGGCTCACACCCAGTGTCCATAGTTTCAAACACCATGTCAAGCTGAAACCCAGCACTTCGGTCCGATCAATCGACGGGAAAATTTAAAATTCAATTAAATTAATATGATCTGTTGCACAAGAGGTGGCTCTCGTCGCCCAAGTGATCTAGTGGATAACTCTTCGACGTTTGAAACTAAAGGCACTGAGTTCGAGCCTCATCATCAATCACTGAGAAATGCAGATACACTTAGATAGCTGACAACTCCCAAATAGGACGAAATGTGCATCCTGGATTCCACTGCTAGTCACCATCCACCAATTAAATACTATTATTATTACTGTTTCTTTAGCAGTTAAAAGGCTTTTACTTTCCAGATCAGCTGAAAAAGGTTTTCGTACTGTCGATTTTCTGAGAGCTATAGGGGTTATAGATTCAGTTTCCACTACAAACACTTTTTTTAAATAAAGGCATTGCATACAAACCTTTTCGTTATTTCATCTATTATCTAGCATGGACAGTCCACATAATAGTGAAGTTGAACTTTTCTTCATACCCTAATAGCCCGCCTCTAAAGGTACATATAAACGGACAAAACGCTTGATTCCACCAGATCTACAGGGAATGAAGAGTACCACATTTTGAAAGGGTTATAAAAACCCCCAATGAGATGAGAAATGTTTCATTGTCATATTTAAGTGTATATCTTTTTTCATGACATTGGAGACTATCATATATTCAGAATGATCACAGCTGTAAGGCAACAACATTCACACATTATGAAGCAGTTTGTTTACAGCATCTCAGCAGGCTTCCAAACTTATCAACAATTTATATATGATTGGCGAGTAGTTAGCAAAGCAATGGTTGTACAGCTTTATATGCTCCAACAATCTTTCAACTGAAATAAGTTAAAAGAGAGTAATTATATATATATATTAAAATGCCGAAACATTTGTACACCTTTAAATATGACCAGACAGACAATACTTCAATAATAAACAGTGTTATTAGTCAGTTAGAAGCTATTGACCATTAAATCGGCAAAAAGAAACTAATAACTTCAAATCACAATAATTACCAACAAATATAATTCAGAATTGGGACAGACAAACGGTTAGAAAGACATAGGAGATCAATAATTAAAAGCACATTTTTTTCCTTCCCGTTCCCAGTGGAACATAGGGCTTCAAGCTAGTGGCTTGAAGTTTCTGTAGCAGTGTTTAATTTTACAGGATGAGGTTGCTAGCCTCATGCCCAAACTTTCCTTTTTACCAGCATTATTTCTGGCCTAGCGAGGTAAAGGAGTGCGTCAGCCGGGGATCGAACCCCGAACCATGTGCATGGTCGGCGAGAGTTCTAACCGCTATACCACCGACGCACAAAAGCACATTAGACTAGCGCAATTCGTTAAACAGAGTTTAAAAGAAGATTTGACAAGGATATTAGAGAGGCGAATATTATAAAATAACAGGGAAAGTTTTTATCCAAATAAAGGGGGTAAGAAGAGTCCTATTATGTTTCACCCCACCGGAGCAATTAGAGGGAATTCAAAGACTTCTTCCACGTTCACTGAAAATAATTGTTATTTCAAATAACGATATCCTCAGAGTTATGCAAAATACAAGTATGGATTTTAATGAAGGGATGTAATGAGATGAAATGAATTTGATTGAATGCGATGGTACACTCAACCAAATGATAAAAATCAGTTAATTGAGGGGAAGGGCACGTTCCTAATTAATATATGTGCTTTTTTTATCTGTTCGTCTAATGTACCTAACATCAAAAGGAGTACGATTTACAGGCTAATTAAAAAAATACTAATTTCAGACATCACAATAAATGAAACTCTTCAAATTTAGAAGTTAATATCTATAGTTCTATTCCCTTTTATTATTATTATTTCCCTTAATTCCTAGAGGAACATAGGGCTTCAGCAGCGCATCTACACTTCACTCGGTTTTCTGCCAACGTTTTCACCCCGCTCCAAATCGGCCCACACGCTTTCTTCTCCGCTTCACATAATTTCCTCCAAGTCACCCTTGGACAACCAACTCGCCACTTCCCTTTTGTGTTCCATTCGAGGGCTTGTCTAGTTATGTCACTTGCTGGTTTTCTCAGAGTATGGCCAGCCAATCCATCTCCATTTCTTCCTGCCTATTTGTTTCGCAATCGGTTCCTGGTTGGTTCGCTCATTACCAGAGATCCATCCCTGTTGCTGATCCTTTCTGGCCAGCCATCTGATCTTGAGTATTGAGCAAAGACCACTGTTAATGAAGGTCTGAAGTTTGTTGGAGATGCTCTTTATGACTCACAGTGCAAGTCTCTCATCCGTATAGTAGCAGTGACTGACTTCACATTTGCGTTGAAGATCCGGATGTTATTTTTGATGCTGAGTGCTGTTGACCTCCACACAGACTTGAGAGAAATGAAAGCTTTTCTTGCTTTCCCGATTCTTGCTTTGATTAGACACAAGTTAGTAACATGAGTAAGCAATTTGCTACAATTTGCCTGTAGTTGAAACGATGCTTCCCAGGTAGGTAGGTAAAGGAGGTTGTTTCTTTCAGGTTCCTCCCATTTATGCTGGCTGATTGTTGTCTGTTGTTGTTGCTGTTGGTGTTGGCCAGGAATCTTCATCACCTCTGTTTTCTCTGTGTTCACCTGAAGGAAGTCCTATCTTTGATGCTTCTTCTGCCAACTTGTTGCTTTTCACTTGCATATCTTCCAGTTTGTGGGAAATCAGACATATGTCATCATCGGTGAAGTCCAGATCCTCCAAGTCGTTTTTTGTGTCAGTCCATTTTATGCTTGTTTCCTCATTGCCCGTTGTCTGTCGCATTATCCAATCAATTGCAATCAGGAAGATCATTGGTGATAGTAGACAGCCTTGCCTCACTTCCGTCCTCACTTCAAAGGCTTCCGTAAGTTTCCCGTTGTGGATTACTTGGCATGCAGCATTGTCGTACAACTGTTGGATGAGATGTATGATTGTCGATGGGACCCTGTAGTAGCGAAGTAGTTGCCATATCACCTCTCGATCGACACTGTCGAAGGCCTTTTCAAAGTCGATGCAGTTGAGTGAAGTAGAGAGGTGACTGCCATTCCAAGCTTTGTTCAATGATGATCCATAGTGTGGTGATTGATCAATACATGATTTATTTCTCCTGAATCCAGCCTGTTTCGGTCGAAGTTTTTCACCCATGGTGGCGTGTTTGATTCTCTCCAGGACGATGCGGCTTAGTAATTTGCTTGGGATGGACAGGAGCATAATTCTGCGTCAGTTTTTACATTGACTTAAGTCTTCTTTCTTTGGCAGTTTGAATAAGTATCTTTCCTTCCAATCCTCAGGTACTTTGCCCTCTTTCCACACCTTCTCTAGCAATGGCGTCATCAAGTCCGCTGTTGTCTCTGGGTCCAGTTCTTTTTTATTTCTCTCTCCTGATGGCTAAGGTTTCCAGATTCCGTGACCAGGAATCAGAAGACGTAGGTCATATAAAGCATACTATCTGGGTCAATAAAAAAAGCTTTGCAATTTTTCTCTAATTGATGTGACGTGAAACAGCGCGACATATCAAAACGAAACAACATTGTAAAAGTCTGACTTCACGAGATGGAGGAAATTAGTCCATTGAATCGACTGAGTGTACGTTCAGTATAGGGTGTTCGGTATATTTACTAGTAATCTAGTTTAATTAGCTAACTGCGCATCAAACGAAGGGAGGGAAATAGAACTACGTATTATTCATTTATACGTTTTGGGGGTAATATTTAAAATATGTATTAGTGTGGGTGTTTTTTGAAGTGTTGTCGAGTAAAGCATAATATCGCATCATGGATGCAGATGAAGGGCCATAAACTGGAAAAAAGGAACTTTCAATTACTTCTTGAATTCCAGTAGTCTTCTAAATGGTGTCAATCCTTGATCGACTCTAAAACTAATGAAATCCTTGCAAATCAAAGCTTAAATGATAATGTTTCACTTAGTGTTTTTTTTTCAATGAAACAACAATCAGGTTCAAGTTTTTACTTATTGAAATAAAACATTCTGATAAAAATGATTCACAAGCAAAACTCACTTTATCTTTCCGCAATGACTGAAATGCTCGTTTCCATAATCCTTTTATATTTTGTGGCCCCGAGGATGCAGTAGATTTCAGATCTCCAGAACTTTCTTTCTTCATGCCAATTATTTTTAGCTGAAAAAATGAAAATAACAAAATAACAAAAAAACATTAAAATCTTTCTGCATTGGGTAACATTATAAAACTATGTTTTTGCACATATCAGACCTACTTACTTATTCTTTATTACGCCGAAAAGACAGCGTGAAAAAAGTAACGGAAAAAGACACTTGATAGTTTTCTGCTACTATTTTTCAACAACTTCAACAAAATATTATCTTTTCATGCGTAAAATATATATATGTGGTTTAAGATGAATGAAATTTAATTCAGTGAATATTTTTGTTCACAAATGTGTGAATCTTTATAGACTTTTCATGTTAAAGGGAGGAAAAAAATATTGAATACGGTTGATTTGTTATCGAAAATGAAGTGTTGTCGTTTTAAACAATGCAATTTTAACACCTACACATCTACTTACGCGTGAAGAGTTTCACACAGTGTTGTTGCTTCTTTTATACTGTTGAAACTGGCCACATGCATTAAACTATAAGCAGAATGATGTATGCGTATGGTTATATACATATATATATATATTGCTAAGACAATTCAACAGGTTTTGAGACTCAGGAAATTACATAAAAACGCTGAATCAAATACTTGAAGCAGTGATTATTGACAGTAGAGCAGAAAAATGTTTAAGTTGTAATCTTCAAAAGAAAAGCATAAGACTATTAGTAATAATAATAATTTCTCTTTTATCCCAGAAACAGTACTAGTGGTACAGTGTGGAATATACAGCACATATCTACAATATTGCATCTAATTTCATCGCACATTTTAAAGGGAGTATTTTAATGAGATAAATATATAAAACAACAACAAAAACCAAAAAAGAAACACAAAAGTAACAAAAAAATGCCAATAAAATACCAAGTAGATAGGAAGATAAACACAAATAATGAATAATGTTTCAGTATTTGGTAGTGGAAGCTATGATATGTGTATGCGTGGTGAACAGTAACAGCTATAATCATACAAGAAGTTATGAAATGATATTAGGAATGTTTGTGACCAAGATGATCAGTTAATTTGATTGAACTACACTAAACAATCATAAAATAAACATTTCAGTTTTTTTTTATTGTCAGCACTAATGCAGTGTTTGTTGCGGTAGTGTGAGTAATCATGCATAATACAAAATTTTAAGATGGTGAAAATGGCGTTCACAACCAAGATTGTCGGTTTAATATTGCCGAACAAAAACAAACAATCACAAAACTAATATTACATGATGGTTAATGACAAGACAATTTTGTAATAATCATAGTGATAATGTAGTCGAACACCAGTAGATACACAAAAGAATAAATAGAATAAAGAATAAAAAAGTAAGCCAATGATAATAATTTTAGGTAGCTAAGTATGTTTAAGAAGGTTGTCCATTATTGAATGCAAATAAAAGAGAATAAGGGAGAAATAAAAGGGTCAGAATTAGGTTATTAACAACAAAGCAAGTCATAGGTTTCACGCTTAACATTGTCTCTGTCACTTAGAACACGGGCCAAATATGGTATCGTTGAGTTCCTATACTTGGTTGTACGAGCATATATTATTTTGTACTGATTTCTGGTTCTACCTGGAGAGATGCAAGGAGAGAGTTGGGAGAAGAGGGGGTGTTAGGGGTCGAAGAGTATGGTTTTAGACCATTTTTCGCATGTAATCAGATACCTTACTTTCTAATGTAGTGGCGAACTGACTGAGTTTTACACCACTAGTCCTACTAACTATCTTCAACATCCTTCTCAGGATGGAATAGTCTTTTTTTCAGTAACCTAGGAAAGACTAATGAGGAGCACTATTATGACTTATCACAAAGTAGGAAACACACAGAAAATATTTCAGTGTCAATAATAAGAGTAATAAATTTCTCTAAGTAGAGGTTTACAATTGTAAAGATCAAACAGAATCATCAATCGAAATGAACGAAGTATTCAATCATACATCTGAGGAGTCCTAGACTTGGACGAAATAGCCATCCAGTACTTCGGGCCGGTTTTCAGTAGTTCTCTAACCACCAGAAAATAACTCTTCAGAACAAAGTATACAATAAAATACAGTTACGAATTTTCTTCCTTTAGAGTCGTTATATCTCTATTATGAATTGTATTGTGAAGCCGCAAGCCTTCAAATTATAATGAATTTTACTTTATAGTTCAATTTGTCTTGCGTAAAAGAGCAAAAAGTGTAGAAAATTAAGGTTAGTCTGCATAATCGTTTGCATTGAGGCAATCATGTATGTTATTAGGCAACAACTGAATACCAATCTAACATTCATTCTCAGTATGTAGCAAATAAGTACACAGTAAATGACAGAAAGAAGAAGTCCAGCTTTTCTTGAGGAGTTTTAAAGATGTTGCAAATAGGTCGGATATTTACTGAATAATATTTGACTACATGCAATCTAGACAATGATAAAGCTTGTAGTAAACTAACCATTCATTTATTTAATTGAATACTAGATTTTCCCGTCGATTGGTTGGACCGAAGTGCTGGGTTTCAGGCTGACATATCGGCTTTATGTGCAGTGGCTTCGACAATGTCTGGGCATCCTGGATTCCACTACTAGTCACTATCCACACATTAAATAACGATTCATTTCTATCTAAATTGTTATCAATGGGCAGAAAACTACTATGATGCAAAACCATTCTAAGTGACACCACTTAATATACATATAATATCGTGATGATGGTTGTATCTCACTTAGTGTTTATCTCTCCGTGCTTCTGCTTCAGTTATAAGAGGGCAATTTGAGGGAATAGCTATCATATTTCACACTTCAACCAATCAGGCTTTAATGACAATAAAAATTTCCTTTTTGTTGGACTATATTCATCATATTTGTACGAAACGAAATCTCTTGATCATCTTCAATTTTTAACTGGCTTGTTATGAGAGTAAATTATCGGATAATGAACAGAAAATCCCTAAAAAGTGGATAAATACATACTTTGAAGATCAGTGCTAATATCCTCAAAACATCGATGTATAGTTTATCGTCAGTTATCTTCTAATAATTATTAATGAAGCAGTGTGAAGTGGCGTATACTTTCACACAGTAGAAAATAAACGTCGCATCTTAAACTATGTCTGGAACGAAAATATTTAGCATCCCCAGTGTTCTGAAGGAAAAACATTTGAAATAGTTTAGCTTTTGATTTTTACTTAAAAATCAAATGCATTAAATAAAAGACATTAAAGCAGACAGATGTATCCTTTTGAGGTTGGCTGATTTTTTTCTAATGAATACTTAATAGACTAGAATTTCTCCTGAACTGGTATTGTAAGCGTATAAAACAAGGAAAATCAATCAATATATTTTTTCTGGCATGATGAAGTCTATATTTATATCAGGTACGAAGCTTAAATTTAAGTAGACCGCTCGAAAGTACAGATGTTCTAGTGAAGTTTTCAAACAAACAAAAAAGATAAAGCAAAAGATTATTTTATTTCATTTTTAAATTTTATTTATTTGCAAATATCCATCGTCTTCTAGATTCAATAAGTTAATTATCTAATAAAAAAAAGAAAGATATGATAACTGACGGAATTTTTTGTTTTATAATAAAAATAAGTCCGGAAGAATAAAAATGTTTTTCTGGAAAACAAATTAAGAGCGCACTTTTACTTTCGGTTGTTACAATAAAATCTGTAAAATGCATTATGAATATATATTTCTGTTGCACTTCTATCTTGCTTGTTACAAAGCGTAAGTGAGGCAGGTAACTAAAATTCCTGCTTTTACAGCGACTTCAAATTGGATTGATGTGAAGCATCTGTATAGCACATGGTACACTAAAAGTGCGAAGATGATGGATGACTACAATACCTTTCAGAGTAGCTAAGGTTCATTTGATGCTACAAACGAACTTTTCTGGATATCTATCAATCCACCTGGTCGTGTGAAGCTAGATATGTCAGCTGTACCCAACATCTGCCATCCAAACTTATCATCGAACACTTACCATCATGGTTTTATAAAGAAGAAAAAAACTTCCCTGCAACTCTATTCTGGAACACGTGATCAAATTTGGACACTAAACCGATCCACAAACCAACTTTAAAGTCACCTACAGAATACACGGGAATCTTTCTAAAAGAGTACGAATGAAACCTCTTCGAACTGCAGAAACAGTGATAGTTCATATGGCAAATGACAAACTCTAAATAGAAAAGAAGTATTTTTAGCTACAGAATCTACAGTGAACCTGATCTATCCTAACATCAAATATGTAATTTTTGTTTTGTTTCTTAATTATACTATTTTCATTCCTCACCTCCTGTTGAATTTTCATCCCCTTATTGATACTGCTGATAATCTGACTCTTGTTTAATTTCAGCTGAGTTCTACTCAATCCCGTCAGCTGTAATACATCACTCAATTTACCTTTTTAATTATAATTTTACTTTAGTTTCTCCTCTTTTAGGTTGTCTGGAAATCTAGTAAATACAATTTTTTGTTACGGTAGTTAAAAGTAACAGTTCCTAACTATACGGAAGTACTTTTTGTGATCACACCTGGTGCTGACAGTTTTGCTTATCAAAAGTGCTTGGATGAAAAAGAGCACTTTTCTTTCGTTATGCGTCGGTGGCAGACCGGTAGAATGCTCACAAACCACGCATGTGGTCTGAAATTCGACTCCCGGCTGGCGCACTCCTTAAACCCACTAGGCAAGCTATAAGACTGAAAAAGAGGGAAGGTTGGGCATGAGGCTAGCAATCCCATCTCGTAAAATTAGACACCACTGCTACCAGAACTTCGAAACTCTCGTTCCTCTGGGAACGTAAAGGAATAAAATAATAGTAATTTCTTTCGTTATATATCACTATAAAAATCGAGTTGTATATTAAACAGCCTTCTTTTAAAAACAAAACTTAAATAAACATTTATTAATAATAACTTAAAAGTCTGATTTCACGCTCATCAATGACTTTTTCAGTCCTTTTCTTTTATAATAAATAAAGATGTTTAGACAGCTGCAATCTAAGCTTGACAAACAAATCTTGACGAA